TTATATCTGTCTGCCTATGATATGGATGATGTCATACTATGTTCATCCTACTTTAAACCATGTCTCTTTATCCTTAGATGTCAACGAATGTGAGGAAATAGACAATACAGTAGGCATGCTACATGGACATATGTTCCGAAAGTGATTTTATTATGTAGTTGGCACTACAATACATGCTAATGTATTACAGTAGTTCACCAAAATAATTTATGTATAAATGTTTAACCTACTTTGTTTGTTTTTGTGTCATTAGTAACTTATCTGGTACACTAATCTACGAGTTCAAACTTTCAGGAAGCTATGGAACAAATGATTGAACAGCCACAACCACCTGAAGGTGATGAGGCTACTACAGGCACAATGTCACCTCTTGCTGCAGTGCGTCAGTATCTCTCCACTAACAGTGCAAAAAGCACCTTCCTGTGTAATTCTGGGTTGGTTGTCAAGGTAACCTCGTCCAAATCACCTACTGAACAAAATCTTCCTGCTAGACAGAGTGATATATCTATGCTCCAGACACAAGTCTAATCCCTAATGGACGTTGTTTCGGAAACAAGAATAGTGGTTGAGAAATGTCGTCAAGATATGAATGGTTTTGAAACCAGACTATCAAACATTCGCTTCGTTGTTCAAGAGCAATGGCGGAAAAAAGGTGGAGATCGTGCTGCTCCATCAGATTCTACAGCCTGAAACATTAGCACTCAGGTCAAATGATCTGTGCTTCTATACATCTGATGGTGCTTTTATCTGGAAGGACTGTAAACTTTATGCCAACAGGCCTTTTGTTGTATGGTTGGAATTTATTTTGTTGTGATATACCATTTATGATGCTGCCACAGGCTGCAGTAATTACGACGCTATTTTTGTATAGTGTAGGTTTATCTTAGTAATATTCGGCCAAAAGCTTCGTAGGAGCCCAACATGCCCACATTCGTCAGGCCCATTCCAATTGGGCTAAAAACGATTACGGGCCGAAATTGGCATGTAGCCCACTAAAAATATCTGGGCTTAAATCAGCATAAGCTTTCATATTTTTCTGGTAGGCCTGTGCCCATAGTGGGCCTTTAATAGGCCTAAACATAATTTGGGCCCTCAGTAAAAATAGGCCGTTTACAGGTGTAAATATTTTGAGCCCATAAAGAACATGGGCCTTTAATAGACCGAAAGTGAGATTGGGCCCTGATTGTGCCAAATAACCCACTGGACTTAGCAGGCCGAAACGGTGGCCCATTTATAATGCGGATATTTGACAGGCCGAAATTCGAACGGGCCGTAAATGCGTCGACCTAATACACAGGCCTTTAACAGGCCGGAACTTCGGTCGGGCTAGATTATCGTCATTTTTATATGGGTCGTTAATGGGCCCGATATGACGTTGGGACACATATGGCCCATGGTTTACGTCCGGCGTTAACAGGCCGAAAATGACAACAGGCCGAAAGTGACCCAAATCTATAGTGGGCCTCTAATAGGCGGAATGACAGACATGGCCGAATATGACCCAAATCCTTCATGGTCGTTTATGGGCCGAAAGTTTTGATGGCCTGTAAATGGGCCCAAAAGAAGCCGGACTTTTAACAGGCTGGAAATACACCGAGCCGTAATTCGGCCCAATTACTTAGCGGACTGTTAATGGGCCAGAAGTGACCATGGGCCGCATTGATGACAAGTTTAGACCAGGCCGTTGAAGGGCCGATTTGACAGAGAATGTTGGGACTTTAGCTGGGCCGGCCCATTATGGTCTGCAGAATCTTGTGGGCCTTTAGCTGGGCCAGCCCATTGTGGTCCGCGAAATCTTGTGGGCCTTTAGCTGGGCCGACCCATTTTGGTCCGCAAAATCGTGTAAGCCTTTAGCTGGGCCGGCCCATTATGGTCCACTAAATTTTGCGGGCCTTTAGCTGGGCCGGCCCATTATGGTCCGCTAAATCTTATGGGCCTTCGGTTGGGCCGACCCATTTAAACTTTGTGGGCCACTTTTGGGCCAGTCCACATGTTAACATATCATAGGCCCATCTCGACCGTTGGATGAGTGACACCTGTGCCAACACGGAGCTGACACGTGGATCCGTTAGCCAATGAGAATTTTACACGTGGAAAATCGGCATTGGTCGTGGCTGTTAACGGGTTCTCGGATCCAAAATCCGACCCGATAGCTTAACGGCGTTTCGTTACGGTGGATGCCACGTGTCGGTCACCCTTGACGGAAGTACTTCTGTGACGCGCGATCGTCATGGAAGTGGACACTTCCGTGATGATAATTTTGGTAATGTCATGGAACACTTCTACGACAGCACAGGTATGACTATCTTGATTCTGTCATAAATTTTTCATGGATATACATGCATGACAAAAAACGCGACCTACTGTGACAAACACGTATCATCACGGAAGTGTATTATTTTTTTGTAGTGTGCTCTACCGACCATTCGGCCTTGGCAACTTCAAAGTCCGCCCACGTAAGTGTGAGGTCGCGAGAGGCGATGAACTCGGCACGACGGGATGCCATCGCTTCCCTACCATTTTGTGTGCGGTCGTGGGCGGCGAGGAACTCGACACGGCGGGATGACATCGCTTCCTTAACGGTTAGTGTGCGGCGCGGTGGCACGAATGATGGTTGGTGAGAGCTCTGGGGCGGAGTATCCCGACAACCGTATAGTGCATTGGTTTGTCAAGAGCTCAAGGACAAACGACAAAGAAAAATTGGATTCCCCTTCAATCCTGTTCATTCATCCATGAGTTCACATAATTTATTTCAGTACAATCATAAGCGTAACTGTGTAAGTGTGTCCGCGTGCGTGCTAGTATGTATTGTGTGTGTGGCCGTGCATACTGTGTGTGTGGGTCGTCTGCATGCATGCATGTGCGTCGCGTTTTCTCCTGGGTGAGGCCTTAGAACCTGGGTGAGTCGCATGTGGACTGTTTGACCGGTCAACCAGACAAAATACGGAGCTATACGCTAAGCCAGTGACCGTATAATCATCTTAAGTCGTATATAGTGATCATATTGATCGTATTCTTAAGTCAGTGACCAAAGTGAGCTATCGAGAAAAGTTCGATGATCATTAGTGCATTTTACTCTTTATTACCGCACAAGGTTACTTTCCGTTGCCTGTGGAAACTATGTGCGCTGACCCTATTGTGGGTTGCTTTCTGATTGGCTGCCACCCCGGTGATATGTCCAATTTGCATCATGTTTTCCTACTGTTATTTATAACTAGTTGACCCATTGCGCCAAATGGCGCAGAGACCTGCTGAAGACATGTTGTCGATGAAAATAGTTTCATGCTGCAAGAACCTTCAACTAAATCATGCTATTTTTAAACATGTTTATTACGTTGTTAAATAATAGTCTGGAAAAAAGGAAACTTTGCATAATATGAATATGTTCAGTTTGAAAATATGGGCACTATGATGAGAGAGTAAAGTTGGCATGGTTGTATATCATGATGAGAAACCTGACCATGCATATTTTTCCTGCAAAAAGAGAGGAAAAAAGATAAGAAACATAAGAAAAAAACATGTCTTTGTTGTGCATATACGAAGATATAGGGATCAAGAGGTATTAGGATAGCCCATATGTTATTTAGCCCAACCCACATAGAGCGATGCATGTGGCCCGTGAGGAGCTGAATATGAAGCGGCAAGGGGCAGGGCCAGCGAAGACTATCTATCCCCTTCCTTTCTTTCTCGGTTTGTCAGCCGGGTAACAAATGGCGCAAAGACCCACTGAATCCATGTTCAGCATGAAAGAAATTCCATGTTTTAGTTGTTTAAGTAGCGGGCAAGCATATATGATAACAAATTTAACCCTCTTTAATAAAAAAAGAGACTTGTCATCTACAATGAGATATACTTACAACTTTTAATTTGGTAGTAGAGTCCCATTTCAAGACCATGTCATGTTGAAAAAATGTGTATTTTTTAATAATCTCCCGTTGCACCAAATTACGAACAGAACCACACCATACATGCTTTGAAAATATTCCATTTATCAGTATTGAGCAAGCACATATGGTTACTACAACCAGCATATAAACAAAATGAACGGGGGCTTGTATAAGGATAACCAAAGTTCAAAAGAAAAAAGTGTTGTATGTGTTGTTTTTCTGACGATTTGGGTCTTGGAACACCTGAATAGGCAAGCACAGTATTGCAAGTAAGAAAATGTGAAACATTGCTAATAACTTGGCTCATATACATGATAGTTTTAGGTCATACAATCAGTGGGGAAAAGAAAAGCAGTTTATATGTGATGAAGCAAGCGTAAGTCAAATAGGTAATGCCCATACAACCAAATTCATCACAATGGATGGATTTCAGTCCTAAAACTGGAAAGTAAATATGCATAACAGAAGTGAATCGTAGAACGTGGTTTATACACAGCACAATAGTCTTCCTGTGAGTACAACTTCTACCACACATCGCCTGTAAACAAAAGAAAAGATAACCATGAGTTATTTTTACTTATAATAGAGCAACATCACAACAGAAAAGATAACCATGAGTTATTTGTACTTATAATAGAGCAACATCACCACAGTTCTAGTTATCCACATTGTTACGTTGCATATATATAAGAGAAGTCGTGCATGTACCTAGCGGACTGAGATCCAGTGACTTGCCTCTAGCAAGTCACATTGTAACTGGCCCCCTCTCATCTGCCGTCCAATGCAGATCCAATGCATGAGATTTGCCCAAAGCAAAACAGCCCACACCTGCAGACTTGGCAAAAGCACAACTACACAAGCATAGAAACAGGGCCGACATGGCACTCAAGACCTCTTCAGATTGCCCATTTTCACAAATGTTAATGCTAGTACATAATGACAACAGCAGCAAAGCATCAAGATATTCCAAATTACATATTTCACAGCCCACATTTGGCTTAATAAAAACACAAGAAACTGTCACAGGTCAACATCTTTTTTAAACCATTTGGGGAACCAAAAGATTTTACTGTGATGTGCAGAAGACACAACACATGCAAGCATGGTCTCATTTTATTGATGCACGGGTAGATGCCACACAGTCAGCAAAATGAGATGCAACAAAGTTCTTAATCTGTAGAGCACAGGCATGTGGAACTGGTACTTACATGTTAGCTTCCATGAAGTTGAAAACATAAAGCCAAGACCAATAGATGTGGTAGTCAGATTACGCAGTGCTTCTGAAAGGTTTGTTGTAGCGGCATTCTTTATAATTTGGGTATCTTCAGAAAGCCTGCTTAAGAGCTTTCCTGTTCTAGTCACGTCAAAGAATGCTATTTCCTGTGGGGGCACAAGACATGTGTGGAGACTTGATAATAAGAACACAGATATATGGAAGACCAAAACAAAGCTATCACTCAGTGGAAATCCAAAAACTGCACTGGGCATGTACGGCAGCAACACAACACTGGAACCTGTCCAAATTGTATATAGTTCTCAGCCTACACTTGCAGGATTAGTGAATACAGAAGAAACAATGCCAGTAAAGTAATGGAACCTTTTCAAACTGGACAATTTTGACACTGAACACTGGATATATTAGGCAAGTATAGTTGTACACTTGGCTATAGTTTAATCCAAAGAGTGAACGAGATGCACACATGAGCAGAGATAGGCTAAAATAAAATAAGTACATATACAGGGATTGCGCTTTGGCTCACGATCAGTTTGCGCTTTCCTTCTAATGCCCTCATTGGAACACACAAATCTGTGTGAAGTCGCTTTTCCATCAAACTTGCATCTTTTCCTCACCATATTCTACCCAAAACACCCAAGCCTCATCCGAATCTATGAACCTCATACCAACTTGAGGTATCCTCTTGCCAATTTCTGCCATTGCACAACACTTTCAAAAATGCATAACACCCGAATTCTGCCAAAATTCAAAACAACATGTATAATTAGTGGTGGACCGATCTGCTTATTAAACAATGCAAGAGGACAAACACGGATACAAAAAAAGGAAGCATTGGAATCTCTGTAAATTGAAATGCATACTGCCACCAGTACATATACAGGATTGGGTTTCATGTGCACAATACTCAATAAACTGAAACTACTACTCCCTCCGTTCCCAAATATTTGTCTTTCTCGACATTTAAATGGACTACAACATATGGATGTATATAGACAAATTTTAAAGTGTAGATTCACTCATTTTGCTTCGTATGTAGTCATTTGTTGAAATCTTTTGAAAGACAAATATTTGGGAACAGAGGGAGTAGTCATCATGGCATGACCATCATAAACAAAAATTGCAGCGAAGCAGAAAATGTGCAGGTTTCATGCCCTCTCTGATTTGTTACTTGTTACTAAATCAAACAATGTTTCAGACATGGGATGCTGTATACTTGTTACTAATCAAACAACAATGCAGAGAAGCTATCTTGTAGTATACTTCCATTGCACCATGAGCAGAGATAAGCTACAATTTCAGAAAGGCGAGTCAAGATGCTGCAGATATGCAATTTTATTAAGATAAAAAAAACAGTCAAGCAGAACATATAGTGAATTTATACGGCTGATCTGGTGTACCAGTAAGAACAACTTCAGCCAAAGTAAAATTCAAAAAATGTTGCAGTCTGAATATGAACAGTAGGAGACTCACGACAGAATCATCCAGAGAGGTTCCTGTCGAATTGTCAGGTGCAGTGGCGGCGGATCTCCTCCCTCCTCTGCAGCGACACCGGAGCCCCTCGTCGCTCTACTCCATGGAAGCGTAGCTCCTCTTCCACGACGCCGCCGAGCTGCCTCGCTTCCAGGGGCACTTGCACAGCTTTCCTCTCTCTCCCTGGAGTCTCCCCTGCAAAAAAAAGGTTGGCTCGTGAGAAGCTGCTTCCTATTTTTACAACATGACCAACAGAAGAAATCAATCCTCAGGCATTCTGAATTTGATTCCAATGCATTCAAAATGCACGCCTGATCATCAATAAAGTTCTTTAGGTACATCATTTATTTTGAAACAACATATACTTTTGAGTTAGTTTTAGTTGTTCAATGCCTGAACCAAACAATGATTATCACTATTAATCCATACATAACAATAATCATAGCTCGAGTTCTTAGCTGTGTACGACCTATGTACATGGTTAGAAACCTACAATACTTCACATTTTAAGGACTCCTCACCCGTATAGATGGAAATGAACCTTCAGAATGTGATATTACTTGTTTCTTTTCTCAGCAAAACAACTCATGGCTTTTGTCCGTCCTTAAACAACTCCCCATTGTTGTTTCTTTTCTAGCTTTATAATAGAATAAACCACCCAGGAATTTTAGAGAACTCATGCGTACAATATGACAACTTATTAAAAGACGACATTGCCTAGCATGATTTAGAATTCACCAAGAATGTAAAATTGGTAATGGTTACCAAGATGAAGACATCATATAATGCATCTTCTGTAAAGCAAAGAAACCACACATATATCTTTTCCCTTGAAACTGAATGAACTGCAAGACCAGCCCAAAAGGACATTCTACTACCAATATCCTCAAATCAGCAAAATAAAAATAAGCACCATATTTTCACTACCGTTCAAACATGCCTCACTGGAGTTGAAACATAAGTAAAGCAATAGTTTTTTCCCTCAAACTCTCACACACACCTTTCAAGAGCAAAACAAACTTTCTACACACTACCGTTCAAGAAACAAAAGGCCTCAATAATTCATCATGCTCATGTCAAAACCTACCAACTCTTCTTTTATGCATTAAAATGATTTATACCAACCACAAATATCCGATTGTCCATTGCATCAGACAAGTTATGTGCATAATGCCATTGTAAAAAAAATATAAGAATGGATTGCATACCTTTGTTATGGTGATGAGAGAAAATAAACCCTGCTTCTCGGCATTTCGGATCTAGGTAAAAATGGCAAATTTTAAAAAATGCTAAATGTTAGGAACCACTATGTGATTCAGATTAATGTTCTTAAATTATTTTATGTACCCGTTCTCACACTGTCTATCTAAAAATGGCAAATTTAGGAACCACTATGTGATTCAGATTAATGTTCTTAAATTATTTTATGTACCAGTTCTCACACTGTCTATCAATCTCCTAATATGCTCAATGAATAGCAGAGAAAAATAACTGCAGAGGGGAGTACGCCCTGCTTGTCAATTTAGGTTTCTTTACCTCGGTTGGCTCCTGACATTGTTGTCTTTCCTAGCTTGAGCCTTCTTTTGTCCATAGCAGTAGTAAAATCCTATATGGCCAACAAAATCAAAAGACCCTTTACTAATCTACTGAACTCAACGAAATCAAAAGACCCTTTTACTAATCTATGAATAGCAGAGAAAAATAACTGCATAGGGGAGTACGCCCTGCTTGTCAACTTAGGTTTCTTTACCTCGGTTGGCTCCTGACATTGTTGTCTTTCCCAGCTTTAGCCTTCTTTTGTCCATAGCAGTAGTAAAATTCTATATGGCCAACAAAATCAAAAGACCCTTTACTAATCTACTGAACTCAACGAAATCAAAAGACCCTTTTACTAATCTATGAATAGCAGAGAAAAATAACTGCAGAGGGCAGTACGCCCTGCTTGTCAACTTAGGTTTCTTTACCTCGGTTGGCTCCTGACATTGTTGTCTGTCCCAGCTTTAGCCTTCTTTTGTCCATAGCAGTAGTAAAATCCTATATGGCCAACAAAATTAAAAGACCCTTTACTAATCTACTGAACTCAACAAAATCAAAAGACCCTTTTACTAATCTACTGAACTCCACGACATCAATACAACAAAAGAATTATGGGGGCTCACAAAAGACATGGCCCAGTGGTCATATGCAAGGCTTGTGCAGTTAGGCAAAACATCAATAGAACAAAAGAATTATGGGTGCTCACAAAAGACATGGCCCAGTGGTCATATGCAAGGCTTGTGCAGTTAGGCAAAACATTTTGAATGATTCGTAGATTTAGCAGTTGATAGCCAAATCAGCAGCATATATCATAGCCAAGATCTGGTCCCTACAACACGAAGCCTCAAACCTGTGAGCAGATCGGGCCAAGAGAAAAAAGAACAACACTGCAACGGAAAGGGATCGTGAGACAGGATGGAGACCTGGAGGTGGACGTTCCTGTGCAGCGCCGCCGCTAGCCGTGGCGGCTTCCCTCGCCACCTGCTCATCCAGTTCTCCTGCATGAAGGAGAGAGATGGAGCCGGGTCGGGCTGCTCCTTCCCCTTGTCCCGGCTGCTGCACTGCTAGGTGCGGAGAGAGAGAGGAGGAGCAGCAACAAGGACGCAGCGAGGAGGCAAAGACGGGCGGCGGACCTCCTTCATCTTCGGCACAGATGCACCCCACCATAACTGGAGCTGCTCTTCTCCGGCACGGATCGACCATCTGTGTGCACCTATGGTGGTGGGGGGGATGGGTAGGAGGCCATGGAGAGGCTCCTAGTGCAGAGGCCATGGCGGAGAGCGAGGAGGAGGGAGGGGCTGTGGGGATCAAGGGGAAAGGGGCTAGGGTTGTGCGGCGGCTGGTGTGGATCGGGACGACCAGGGGAGAGGATGGGATTGGGTACGGTGCGAGCACGCGGAGCGGATTGGACAAAGCGTTTTGCACGCAAAAACAAGAAACCCAACCAATGAGTGCATGGCGCGATCCCACCCGTCATTGGCCAGCAAAAATAACTGCGAGGTGAAAATGGGTTTTACTGCTGTGAAGATCCAACGATTCAAACTCGCCCAAAGGCAGATCCGACGGCCAACGAAGGCCCAATCGGGGAGCATCCAGGAGGTGAGTTGGCTAGCCTCTTTTTTGTTTTAAATGTTATGCATAATAATACTTTTTGAGTAATTATAATGCCTTTTCTCTCATAATATGCAAGGTTCACACAAAGAGGAAAAATTCCGGCAGCTAGAAATCTGGACATGAAAAAGCAACGTTAGGCTACCTATTCTACACAACTCCAAATGAGCTAAAATTTCATGAAGAATTTTAATGGAATAAATGAGAATTATTGGAGCAAATAAGTACCAAACGGGGCCATCAGGTGGGCACAACCCAACTGGGCGCGCTAGGGAGCCCAGGCGCGCCCTGGTGGGTTATGCCCTCATCGGCCCACCTCCGGTGCCCATCTTTTGGTATGTAAGTCATTTTGCCCTAGAAAAAAAATGAGGAGTGGACTTTCGGGATGAAGCGCCGTCGTCTCGAGGTGGAACTTTAGCAGGAGCACTTTTGCCCTCCGGCGGAGCGATTCCACCGGGGGAACTTCTCTCTCGGAGGGGGAAATCATCATCATCATCATCACCAACAAGTCTCCCATCTTGGGGAGGGCAATATCCATCAACATCTTCAACAACACCATCTCCTCTCTGATAACGCCTCCAACGTATCTATAATTTGTGATTGTTCCATACTATTATATTACCCGTTTTGGATG